CTGTCTCTCATCCCGAAGACCCAAACCAACCCCATGCCAAGGACCCGACAAAACTGTGCGAACATGTCAGGCTATTCTATGAACAACTTCTCACCTCCGGACGGGCCCCCAATGCACCAGTGATACCCCCCCACCTTGAAAAATTCCTATGGGGCTCCACACACAAGGTACTGTCCCAGCTGGAGGCTTCGACTTTAGAACACCCAATTACCGTATCGGAACTCACAGCAGCACTCAATAGCATGGCCAGGGGCAAGTGCCCGGGCCCAGACGGCTTACCGGTCGAGTTCTACCTCCGTTTTTGGACCCTCCTAGCACCTGACATACTAAGAGTGTTCAACTCGATCCTATCTGACCAGCCCCTCGGACCACGTACAGCGGAGGGCATCATCACCCTCCTTTACAAAAAAGGGGATAGAACAGACGTCCAGAATTACCGCCCTATTTCACTCCTAAATGTCCATGGGAAAATCCTAGCCAAAACTCTCGCACATCGGTTGAACCCCTTCCTAACCAAACTGATTCACCCTGACCAGTCCGGTTTCATCCCGGGACGACAGGTTCTAGATAACGTAATGACTGTCTCACAATCTATCGACTGGATTAATTACCACGGACTCAATAAAACGGTGATCCTCATCGATTTTCAGAAAGCTTACGACTGTGTCAGCTGGAATTTTGTTCAAGCTTCACTTAGCAGACTGGGTATAAACACCAACTTCAGAAAATTTGTCAAGGCCCTCTACGGTGCCTCGTCTGGCAGGGTCCTCGTTAATGGCCACCCCTCCACTCCTTTCAAAGTCACTCGTTCCCTTCGGCAAGGTTGCCCCCTAGCCCCGTCCCTCTTCGTCATGCAACTAGAAGTCTTATTGAATATGATTCGTCACCATCCGAATTACACAGGTCTCCATATCTCCCCCACCTATTCTATCAAAGTCTCTGCCCTAGCTGACGATCTCACAGCGATCTCGGATAATTCAATCCTCTCCCTGTCTGCTCTAGAAGAATGTCTAACGGTCTACGAAACTGCCTCGGAAATGAGGGTTAGCTGGCAGAAATCTGTGGCCCTTACCCCCAATGGCCAACCCCTAGCCTT